CCTTCCTTCCTTCCTTCCTTCCTGCCTTCATTTTTTCCCTCTTTCTTTCCCGCCTTCCCTCCTTTCCTTCTTTCCTTTCTTCCCTCTTTCCTTCTTTCTTTACTTCCTTCTTTCCCTCCTTCCTTTACTTCCTTCCCTCCTTCCTTCTTTCCTTCTCGCTTCTTTTTTCTTTCTCTCCTACAAAAAAATGTAAAAAAATTATAAAATATAAAATTGTAGAAAATTACATAAAAATAAAAGCCTACTGACACTAGTGGTGGAACTACCAGGGTCACAAAGGTCTCTCTTGCGACCGGGTCCTAGCATTCCCCCAACCAGCTCCGAGGAAAGGATCCCCGAGCTTGGGGCTGCTCAGTCCAAAATGCCTGGGCCTATTTTTTGTCCCAATCCAGGCTTGGTCTTTACATCCACTTTAAAGTGATATTAAAAACTCAGTTTTTCTACTTTCAGCAGTTGATTTAATCACTTATTGAGTATAATCTTCATTTATGGGCAACACAGTGGCTAAGTGGTTAGCACTTCCACCTGGCAGCACTAGGGTTGTTGGTTTGAAAACCAATCATGCCACTACCTGCACGGAGTTTGCATGTTCTCTCTGTGCCTGTGTTTCCTCCGGTTTACTCCAGTTTCCCCCCACACTTCAAAGACATGGTGGTAGGTAAATTTGTCCTATTATGTAAAAAAATTGAGTTAGGGAACTTACTCACAGGGGATATATATATATATATACAGTCATGGCCGAAATTGTTGGCACCCTTGATATTTTTCCTGAAAATCAAGTATTTCACACAAAAAAGGTATTGCATTAACACATGTTTTGCTATACACATGTTTATTCCCTTTGTATGTATTGGAACAAATATAAAACAGAGGCAGAAAAGCAAATATGACATAATGTCACACAAAACCCCAAAAATGGGCTGGACAAAAGTATTGGCACCCTTAACTTAATATTTGGTTGCACACCCTTTGGAAAACATAACTGAAATCAGTCGCTTCCTATAACCATCAATAAGCTTCTGACACCTCTCACCCGGAATTTTGGACCACTCTTCCTTTGCAAACAGCTCCAGGTCTCTCTTATTGGAAGGACACCTTTTCCCAACAGCAATTTTAAGATCTCTCCACAGGTGTTCAATGGGATTTAGATCTGGGCTCATTGCTGGCCACTTCAGAACTCTCCAGCGCTTCTTTGCCATCCATTTCTGAGTGCTTTTTGACGTATGTTTGGGGTCATTGTCCTGCTGGAAGACCCAGATCTTGGACGCAAACCCAGCTTTCTGACACTGGGCCCTACAGTGCGACCCAAAATCCTTTGGTAATCCTCAGATTTCATGATGCCTTGCACACAGTCAAGGCACCCAGTGCCAGAGGCAGCAAAACAACCCCAAAACATCATTGAACCTCCACCATATTTTACCGTAGGTACTGTGTTTTGTTCTTTGTAGGCCTCATTCCGTTTTCGGTAAACAGTAGAATGATGTGCTTTACCGAAAAGCTCTATCTTGGTCTCATCTGTCCACAAGACGTTTTCCCAGAAGGCTTTTGGCTTACTCAAGTACATTTTGGCAAACTGTAGTCTTGCTTTTTTTATGTCTCTGTGTCAGCAGTGGGGTCCTCCTGGGTCTCCTGCCATAGCGTTTCATTTCATTTAAATGTCGACGGATAGTTCGCGCTGACACTGATGCTCCCTGAGCCTGCAGGACAGCTTGAATGTCTTTGGAACATGTTTGGGGCTGCTTATCCACCATCCGGACTATTCTGCGTTGCAATCTTTCATCAATTTTCCTCATCCGTCCACGACCAGGGAGATTAGCTACAGTGCCATGGGGTTGCAAACTTCTTGATAATGTTGCGCACTGTGGACAAAGGCAAATCTAGTTCTCTGGAGATGGACTTGTAACCTTGAGATTGTTGATATTTTGCCACAATTTTGGTTCTCAGGTCCTCAGACAGTTCTCGTCTCCTCTTTCTGTTGTCCATGCTTAGTGTGGCACAGACAGACACACAATGCAAAGGTTAAGTGAACGTCTCTCCTTTTTATCTGCTTTCAGGTGTGATTTCTATATTGCCCACACCTGTTACTTGCCCCAGGTGAGTTTACAGGAGCATCACATGCTTGTAACATTCTTATTTATCCGCAGTTGTGAAAGGGTGCCAATACTTTTGTCCAGCCCATTTTTGGAGGTTTGTGTGACATTATGTCGAATTTGCTTTCTTTCCTCCCTTTTTTTGTTTTGTCCCAATACACACAAAGGGAATAAACATGTGTATAGCAAAACATGTGTTAATGCAATACGTTTCGTGAGAAATACATGATTTCCTGGAGAAATATCAAGGGTGCCAACAATTTCGGCCATGACTGTATATATATATATATATATATATATATATAGTATATGCAAAGTGCTGCATAATTGATGGTGCTACATAATGTAATAAATAATAATAATCCTTGTCTAAGTTGTTATGACCACTGTTTCAGGGTGGCTCCTTTCTCTTGGAGTGTCCTGTGGAGCCACCGATGCATACAGGGACTAGTGTCTCCACCCACAGGCTACATCTGCATAGATGTGGGGTCTTTGGCTCTCATGCCTCAACTACACTAGGGCTTCTCCCAATCTGGCTTATATCTGGGTCCTGACTCACCCCTGACATCACTACAGGAGGGCTCTAATCAGGGGCGGACTGACAACTCATGGGGCCCCCAGGCAATAGGGGATCATGGGGCCCCTGTGTCCTTGCCCAAACTCAAAAAAGCCTATGAAAAAGGTACCAGGGGCATCTCATGGGGCCCCCTACTGACCCCGGGCCCTCGGGCAATGCCCGAGTTTCCAAATGGTCAGTCTGCCCCTGGCTCTAATTAAAGGAGCCTAGCACCTGGTGACACTACCTTCTGTAACCAGATGCTATTCTTGTACAGAGCCACCTAGTGGCAGACTAGCTAACTGCACCTGCCTACATATTTATTTGCAGCCATGTGCATGAGTGCGTGGGATTTTAGTGATTTATGTTTAGATCCACTGTTATTTTCTCCTAATAGATGTTCAGCATGGATGCAGATTGCCATGTCTGATCTAGAGTGTACAGTGATCAATCTCCATAAGAACTGTAACTACCAAAATAGGACACAATGAAGTAAAAGAAAAGCAATTTTCCAGTTAAAGGAACACTAACAACCCAAACATACACGTATTGAAGTACATACTGGTTTTCCTTTAAGGCTCATTTTTCTTCATAGACAATTACATGAGCCTGGCCTGATTTCCACTCCAAGTCACAAGATTTCCCAATCGGATCAATACATCCACTCGCTGATGTGCTACTTCAGGATAATTGATAGTTTGAGCCAAAGAAATGGCTCATTACATCCATTACAAGAAGATAATGACCCCCTGCTGAAAGCTGATAGCCGAGGGAAAGCGATCGCTCTGCTGCAAATAAATATTGAGGTGAAATTGGGGATTGTTTTCTTACATTTAGGCTGGACACCATTAAAAGGCTGTTATTTCCTCCCCGAGGCAGCATTCCCATTACACGAGATGAGAAGACGCAAAATGATCCACGGGCCGGGGAGGCCTTGGCGGTCGTTCAGTCGGATCGCTCATTGATGCTCCTGTCATGTGATGACTTTATAGTGTTCATGTATTGTTAGATTGGATTCACCGCTTTTATGTTTTACTGTTGCTGGAGGGATCAGTCTTCATCGCTCATTATCACACCGGGACCGATGAAGAAACAACATGGGGCCAAATCTGCGGAGAGGGAGGGGGGCAGAAAATTACGGGGTTTCTTCTTTCTTTATTATTCTTGTGCTAATGTCTTTCCTGTAATAAATATGAACTCCAGGAAGACCGCGTATGGCACAATATGGCCTCATGGGCACTAGGCGTCAAAAATGCCGGTTCACACTGATATGGTGCAGGAAACCGCATGTGATTTGGATGGAAACCACACTGCATTCCTGTTCAAATCACATGCGATTCGAGCCATTCATTTTGTATGGGCTCAAATCGCACAATGCACCCGCAGGACCCTTTCTTTTTATACACTGGAATCAAATAAGTGTTCACACCCATGTGGTCTGATTCAGCCAATTACACTACATTTTACAAACTGTTTTTGGGATGTTGTTAACATTGACCACTGCAGTGGTTCGCACAAATGGAGTGCAATTGTGATGCAGTGCGGGAAATTTATTTATTTCAGGTACTTATATAGCGCCGTCAATTTACACAGTGCTTTACATATATATTGTACATTCACATCAGTCCCTAACCCTCAAGGGGTGTACAATCTAAGGTCCCTAACTCACATTCATACATACACATACTAGGACCAATTTACCTACCATTGGAGTGTGGGAGGAAACCAGAATACCCAGAGGAACCCCACGCAGGAACAGGGAGAACATGCAAACTCCAGGCAGGAGGTGCCGTGGCTGGGATTTGAACTAATGACCCTAGTACTGCCAGGCGGAAGTGCTAACCATTTAGCCACTGGAAATGCACAGGAATCACTGCAAATCCTGTACTGCATTGATGTGAGCTAGTCCTTAAGGGCATTTGACTTTTACTGATTAACCCTGTCACTGTCAGAGCTGTTTTTGCCTTTTTTGCACGCATGTTTAATCGCCTCCCGCCCGTAATATAAGAAAATGATGGGTGCAAGGCGGTTCTCTCGTTCTGGGAGGATGTCATATGATGTCCTCCCGCCCTAACCAGGGGCCTGCAGCACGGCGATCAGTGGTGTGCTCTGTCTCTAGGACAGAGCGGATCACCGATCAATGGAAAGAGACGAAGACATCGGCTCTTTCATGTGATCAGCTGTGTCCAATCACAGCTGATCGCATGTAAATAAGTTAATACCGGTTATTGGCATTTCTCTCCTCATGAGCTGTCACGCTGACAGTTATCAGCATTACTCAGAGGGGACATGTACACTGATCATCAGGGTACTGATGATCCATGTGCCCTGATGATCAGTGTAGCCCCAGCAGTGCCACCTGTCAGTGCTCATCAATGCCACCTGTCAATGCTCATCAATGCCACCTGCCAGTGCCCATCAGTGCCAGATCAATGCCACATATCAGTGTCAACCAGTGCATATCAATGCCACATATCAGTGCCCATCTGAGCTCCCTTTCACTACCACCTATCAGTGCCAGTCAGTGCCACTTATCAATGCCAGTCAGTGCTGCCAATCAGTGCCAGTCAGTGCCACCTATCAGTGCCAGTCAGTGCTGCCTATCAGTGAGCATCAGTGCCACCTATCAGTGCCCATCAGTGCTGCCTATCAGTGCCAGTCAGTGCCGCCTCTCAGTGCCAGTCAGTCCCTCCTATCAGTGCCAGTCAGTGCCGCCTATCAGTGCCACCTATCAGTGCCATATATGAGTGCTGCCTTTCAGTGCCCATCAGTGATGCCTGACAATGCCCATCAGTTCCACCTACCAGTGCCTCCTCATCAGTGCCCATCAGTGTCACCTGTCAGTGCCCATCAGTACAGCCTATCAGTGCCCATCACTGCAGCCTCATTAGCGCACATCAGTGAAGGAGAAAATCACTTATTTACAGAAACTAAGAAAAAACGTATTTTTTTGAAAATTTTCTGTTGTTTTTGGTTTGTTTAGCAAAAAATAAAAAATCCAGAGGTGATAAAATACCACCAAAAGAAAGCTCTATCTGTCTCAAAAAAATTCTAAAAATTTCATATGAGTACATTGTTGCATGACCGTACAATTGTCATTCAAAGTGTGACAGCGCTGAAAGCTGAAAATTGGCCTGGGCAGGAAGGGGGTAGAAGAGCCCTGTAGGCAAGTGGTTAAAAAATCATTTTAGGCCTAAAGATTGCATAAAGCCACAAAACATTAAATATTTTCAGAAAGTAAACACCCTAAATAATTAAATAGTGGTAGTTTCAATTTTCTTATGTTACATAATATTACTGCAAAAGTTCAGTAAAAAGTACACACAAGTTAAGGTAACCACTTGCCCCCCCTCCCCAGAGGATTTACCCCCCTTCCTGACCAGGCCTTTTTTGCGTTATGGTGTTGCATTTCTTTAACTGACAATTGTGTGGTCATGCAATGCTGCACCCAAATGAAATTTATGGGGGGGTTTTGCCCACAAATGGAGCTTTCTTTCGGTGGTATTTGATCACCTGTGCATTTTTTTTTGAGCCATAAACAAAAAAAGACCGACAATTTTGAAAAAAAAAGCAAACAATATTTTATACTTTTTTGCTATAAAACATATCCAGTAAAAAAAAAAAATCAAATTTCTTGCTGCAAGATTAAGTATTGCCAGACTTTGGAAACAGCACATTACACCTTCCATTCACACAGTAATTGAAATACTGAACACAAACACGGCCTTTGAAAAAACCTTTGCCCAAATCCATGACTCAGTTGACAAATTTCAGAAAAATTAGAATTTATGGCTCAAAGATCCTCGCTGTACTGTTGTATAATAGGCCTTAAGTTGTACCATGTAAGCATCACCAACTTCACAATCAGGGGCAGACTGACCATTTGGAAACTCGGGCACTGCCCTGGGGCCCGGGGTCAGTAGGGGGCCCCATGAGATGCCCCTGGTACCTTTTTCATAGGCTTTTTTGAGTTTGGGCAAGGACACAGGGGCCCCATGATCCCCTATTGCCCGGGGGCCCCATGAGTTGTCAGTCCGCCCCTGCGCAGAAGTGAACATGTCCCATAGGAAATCATATTAAATGGTCCCAACCACAGCGCCACCTGCCTGGAGTTTGCATTTTCTCCCTGTGCCTGCGTGGGTTTCCTCCGGATCCTCCAGTTTCCTCCCACACTTCAAAGACATGCTGGTAGGTGAATTGGCTCCTGTCTAAATTGTCCCTAGTATGTGTATGTATGAATGTAAGTTAGAGACCTTAGATTGTACGCCCCTTGAGGGTTAGGGACTGATGTGAATGTACAATATATATGTAAAGCGCTGTGGAAATTGACGGCACTATATAAGTACCTGAAATAAAATAAAATAATTGCACTGTACTGCTTTTCTGCAAACGCTGCGGAAAACGCTAAGGTGTGAACCTTAGCGTTGTTTTCACCCAGTGCATTGTTTTCACCCAGTGCATTTTTCTGGAAAGGGTCAGGGATTTTTTTGAATGCATTTTTGGCTTTATAGACTTCAATGTAAATGCTGCAGAAAAAGCATGTAGTGCATTTTTGATGCGTTTTGCTTTTTACATTTTAAGTCTGCCTAGGAAGAAGAAAAATAAAAAAATATTTTTTTATTTGAGCTGCAAAAATTCATCAAAAACGCCGGTGCAAAAACACACAACGCAACGCAATGCAGAACTGCTCAAACGCACCCTGCATAGGTGTGAACCTAGCCTTATTGCTATTTTTCAGAACGCAGCTGCAACACAGGCCAACTCGCCATCGTCACTACTGGACATATCCTTTGATTTTGCACTGTATTCCATTGGAGCCCACCGAGGCGTCAACTCTGCAGCCACGAGATCCCAGGAATGCCTTGCTTGCAACCGATCAGCATGCAGTTCATGGCCAGCGCCCCACAGCTGTGGAAATTGCTGCACGGCGGCGATTAGCTGCATTTGGGTAATGCCAATTTCCAACAACAAAAGGGCAGCAGCACACAGCAGCAGGACCAGCTCTGCAGAGAACATGCAGCAGAACAATAGGAGGCAGGGCCACCTGGCATGCCTTGTACCTCCCAGAGCTTCCATTGATCAGACAGTATTTTCTTAACCACTGCACATGAAAAAAAGAAAACAGAATGCTCATAAAAACAGCATTTCTGTACATTTTTTGCACACTTATTTGCGTTTTTGCACGCTTATGCGCATGGGCGGACTGACCATTTGGAAACTAGGGCACTGCCCGAGGGCCCGGGGTCAGTAGGGGGCCCCATGAGATGCCCCTGGTACCTTTTTCATAGGCTTTTTTGAGTTTGGGCAAGGACACAGGGGCCCCATGATCCTCTATTGCCCGGGGGCCCATGAGTTGTCAGTCCACCCCTGCTTATGCGTCTTCTCTGTTTGACAGCTCTTCTCAAAATTGTGAGTTTGGTTGTATTTTTTTTTTTTTGCCTGTAAGCTCAAATGCCTGCAAAATCCTGAAAATGCCTATAGTGTGCATGGACGCACTGGCTAACATGGAGAGAAATTTCCAGGCAGAGAAAAATAAAAGCTCAAAAGCCTGTAAGAGCAGCTTCTATGTGCTGCAGCTTGCATGAGCCCTAAAACGCTCCTAACAGCTTTTTTCTTTTTTTTTTCCTCCCAATATGTACTGTAAAAACACTAATAAAACGCTAACACCCCTAAACGCTCCTAAAAATGCTATTACTAACCTTTTTTATCCATTTTTTTTTCTAGTGTTTTTTGAGCTTAAAAAAAAAAAGCCTAGTGTACATGGAGCCTTACTAATGATCAAAATCCACATCCCTGTGTGTGGAATACTGATACAATCGATGGTTGACTGTAGATCAATTATTCTTATCAGAAGAAATCAATCAAAAAAGAAACTAATCGTTCATTAAATCATGTATGACCACTATTAGATTTGGTTAGAAGCTGGGAAGAAAATTATCGATCGTGTTGCATCGACCGGCATCACTGAGATGCTTTGTTCATGAATTTGATCGTATTTCAATTGATCAGATGATGAGATTACAGGGCGATGATGGAGATATGACTGAATACTTACAGTCCTATCTTCCATTTATCAATTGAAGGCTACTTCTCCGTGTGCGTCCTATCGATTGAATGAGGCGTTGACTATTACACCCCGGGCACATCAAACCCGACTTTGAAATTGTGTGGCTTACAGTGAAGTTGCATGATTTCAAAGTCAGATGACATGCCAATTTCAGGAGCGATTTGCAAGACATCTGAAACAGAGTAGTAAAAAAAGTAGTGCATGTACTACTTTAGAAATCGGTGTGGCTCCGAGCAATATGACCGCTCTAATTACAGACAATAGGGTGCGACTTGGCATGTGATTTTCAAGTCGCATAACATGCAAATCGCATGCAAATTCGCATCCAGTGTGACCAGGGACTAAATAATTTATTCCTATCATGAGTGATTGATTGTAAAAGAAATGAGTCTTTTATTGAATTGTGTATGACCCAGGGGCAGACTGACCATTTGGAAACTCGGGCAATGCCCGAGGGCCCAGGGTCAGTAGGGGGCCCCGTGAGATGCCCCTGGTACCTTTTTTTATAGGCTTTTTTGAGTTTGGGCAAGGACACAGGGGTCCCATGATCCCCTATTGCCCGGGGGCCCCATGAGTTGTCAGTCTGCCCCTGGTATGACCATTTTGGATTGCATTAAAATTTGGGTTGATTGGCCAGGGAAGAATATTATTGATCATGTTGCATCAGTTGGCAGCACTGAGATGCTTTGTTCATGAATTCCATTATAATTCCATTGGTCAGATTATGAGGTTACAGGGTAAAAAACAGAGATGCCATCGATATCGCTCACTGTTATCACATAGTAATAGTCATTCTATAGTTGACCATCCATTCGATCGAAGTGCCATACACAAAGTGAATTTTTTTTTACTTATTTTATTTTTTGTTGTTTTTTTTTTAAGACAAAAGATTGGCTCAAGGGTTGACTTTCAATAGATTGCAGCAAGGTAGCTGCTCTGCTACGTACAAAACCCTGACCCAGAATCAGGTTGTCTACTAATGATTTAGCACTGGGTTCCCAAAGTACATGCATCCACGCTCCGGTTCCGAGGTGAGTGGCGCTACGTGCTGGCCCGTGCTCTGGCGCAGGGATGGGGGGTATGCTATCCTAGCCAACCTAGACTCCGTGGCACTGTGGTATTGTCACCACAAAGTGGATTTTGATCGACTAGTTAAAATATCCATGTCTTACAGCTGTATCTCCCAATTATTGATGGAAACCCACTTCCCTATGTGTATCATATCGATCTAATGGGATGTTGACTATAGATTGTTCCTATCAGGAAAGATTGATTGGAAAAGAAATCATTTATTGAATCATGTAAGATCACTTTTAGATTGAATTAGAAACTAGGTCAATTGGCCAGGGTGGAAAACTATCAATTGTGTTGCAGCAATAGGCTGCACTGGGATGCTTTGTTCATGGATTCCATCGTATTTCAGTTGTTCACATTATGAGGTTACAGGGTGAAAACAGAAATGTGATCAATACCTTACATTCTATTTTCCAGCCAGGGGCGGACTGACCATTTGGAAACTTGGGCACTGCCCGAGGGCCCGGGGTCAGTAGGTGGCCCCATGAGATGCCCATGGTACCTTTTTCATAGGCTTTTTTGAGTTTGGGCAAGGACACAGGGGCCCCATGAACCCCTATTGCCGGGGGCCCCATGAGCTGTCAACTATCGATTGAAGCCCACTTCCCTATGTGTGCATATTGACCAGATGGGATGTTGACTACAGATTGTTTATTCCTATCATGGGCAATTGATTGGAAAAGAAACAGATCATTTATAGAATTGTGTATGACCACCTTTGGTCTAGGTTCACACCTATGCAGGTTGCGTTTGAGCTGTTTCTGCATTGCATTTTGTGTTGCGTTTTTGCCATGTTTTGATGCGTTTTATATATATATATATATATTTAAAATTTTTCTTGTTGCTAGGCAGATTTTAAATGCAAAACACATAAAAAACGCACCACATGCTTTTCTGCAGCATTTCCATTGAAACCAATAGAACCAAAATCGCAACTTTGTGTTTAAAAAAGTCTCTGGCCCTTTCCAAAAAACGCACCCGGTGAAAATGAGCAGATGTGAAGGTGTCCCATAGGAAATCATGTTAAATAGGCTGTACTGCGTTTCTGCAAAACGCTGCAAAAAACGCTTAGGTGTGAACCTAGGGTTAGACTAGATTAGAAAATGGGTCAATCGGCCAGGGCAGAACATTTTTGCAGCGATTGGCAGCACTTGGATGTTTTCTTCGTGTATTTCAATTGATCATAATATGAGATTACAGGGTGAAAGCAGATGTGATCAATACTTTGCATTGTTTTCCTTTTGGAATATTCAGTCTATAGTCGACCATTCATTCAACCGACCTGCCACATACAAAGTGGAGTTTAATCGATAGATAAACTATCAATAACTTACAGTTGTGTCATACTGATCAAATGGGATGTTGATTATAGATTGTTTATTCCTATCAAAGAAAATAAATTGATCATTAATTAAATTGTGAATGACCGCTTTTAGATTGGATTAGAAACTGGGTTGATCGGCCAGGGCAGAAAATTATTGATCGCAGTGCAGCAATTAGTTGCACTGGGATGGTTTGTTCATGAATTTGATTGATCAGATTATGAGATAACAGAGTAAAAACTGAGATGCGTTCAATACCTTACATTGTTTTCCCATAGCATCTGCAGTCGGCCACCTATTCGATGTGCCACACACGGGGAACTGGATTTAGATCGACAGTTAAAATATCGATAACGTACAGTTGTACAGTATCTCCCAACTATCAACCAAAACCCACTTCCCTGCGTGTGTCCTATCAATCAAATGGGTTGATGAGTACACTGTAAATCATTAAGCCCGGGTTCACACTAATGTGGTGCGGAATTCGCATGGGTTTCTGTGCAAATTCTGCACCGCATCATAATTGCACCGTTCATGCGAACCGCTGCGGATGTGTATGTTAAATTAAAAAGACCCTGAAAGCGGTTCGCAAAACACGATGCGATGTGCAGATGGGGGTGTGAATACCCATGCGATCCAATTCTAGAGCGGACAAAAAAAAAAAAAAGGGTCCTGCACCTTTTTGGCTGTGTGGCTCAAATTGCACCGCACAGAATTTGCATGTTATTTGCGGTGCGGTTCCTGTGCGAATCACATGCGATGTTCCACACCGCAGAAATGTGGACCCAGGCTTATTCAGAAAATTGATCATTTATTGAATGTCCGCCATTGGATTTTATTCGGACACCAGGAGAAGGGAGCTGTGTAAACAAATTTCTAGCAGCGTGATCCTCAGCCGAGGGGGTTTGCATGTGATTTGCGGTGCGGTTCCTGTGCGAATGACATGCAATGTTCCACACCGCAGAAATGTGGACCCAGGTTTATTCAGAAAGTTGATCATTTAGTGAATGGCCACCATTGGATTATATTCGAGCATCAGAAGAAGGGAGCTGTGTAAACAATTATCTAGCAGCGTGATCCTCAGCCCAGGGGTTTGCATATAATTTGCGGTGCGGTTCCTGTGCAAATTACCTGCAGTGTTCCACACCCCAGAAATGTGGACCCAGGTTTATTCAGAAAATTGATCATTTATTGAATGGCCACCATTGGATTATATTTGAGCATCAGAAGAAGGGAGCTGTGTAAACAATTATCTAGCAGCGTGATCCTCAGCCCAGTGGTTTGCATGTGATTTGCGGTGCGGTTCCTGTGCGAATCACATGCGATGTTCCACACCACAGAAATGTGAACCCAGGCTTATTCAGAAAATTGATCATTTATTGAATGGCCGCCATTGGATTTTATTCGGGCACCAGGAGAAGGGAGCTGTGTAAACAAATTTCTAGCAGCGTGATCCTCAAGCGAGGGGTTTGCATATGATTTACGGTGCGTTTACTGTGCGAATCACATGCGATGTTCCACACCACAGAAATGTGGACCCAGGCTTATTCAGAAAATTGATCATTTATTGAATGGCCGCCATTGGATTTTATTCAAGCATCAGGAGAAGGGAGCTGTGTAAACAATTTTCTAGCAGCGTGATCCTCAGCCCAGGGGTTAAATAGTTCTTCTACCTTGAAGACTGGGAGGCCTATTAGGAGAATGTAGCCATGTAAGCGATTGTTTCTATCGCAGGACATGAACAGCTTCTCCTCCTGCAGAAGGCAAAATAATGAATAGGTGAAGGCCTGACATTTCCATTACACACAGAAATCTCCCAGCATCTTAATGATGCTGTCTGCTCCTCAGACTCCCAGAATCCTGCGCTCCGGTGACCAGCTAATCTTCAGCGCAAGGCGCAGGCACTTTGTCAGCGGACACCTAATTCGGCCAGGAGTGCCGTCTGTTGCCACTTGCCATCACTCCACCATTATATCTCAGGAGTAAATCAGCCAGAGTGAACCCCCCCCCAAAAAAAAAACAAATTGCGCAGACCTCCGTATAAGTCCTGCGACACGACGGCATTTCAAAGAGAGGTTTTCCTGTCTGCACAACATGTGGCACATTGTGATAAAATGACGACAGATGAAACGAAGGAACCAAATCCCCGGCATCTGATTGGGATGAAATATGTTCCGTTGATGATAAAAAAAGACGTGTTGCAAATTTGCGGCAGCTGACGGAGATTAAGGGGCATTGGCACGCTGCAGGAAAACTTGGAGTTAATACAAATATTTTTATTCCGTGTGCCGTATCTGACAGCAGAGACGGGTCGAGCTTCCTAATTCCTGGGTGTCATTTTGGCATCACCGATTGAAGCTTTTCATCTCTGCCTCCGCTATAGTGTGAGAAGTGCGTCAGTGAAACAACGGCCGTTCCGGATTCAGTTCTAACATGCACTGAATGTTTATGAAGCTGTGCCATCTAATCAGCCATTCTGAACTTCAGACAGATATAAGAAAAAAATATTCAGAGCTGGATCACACCAGATGCAGTCTAGTTTTATTCTGTAACAAAACGCATGGACTGTGCTTAACATGCATTCCAATGGCTCTAGTTCACACCAGTGCAGGTGCATTCCAGTGCATTCAACAAAAGGAGGACATGCTGCATTTTTTTTTTATTGAATGTATCTGGAACAAGGCAAAATATATCAAAAACACACTGAAATGCAGCCACTGCATCTACGAAGTGGAAAACTGCAATATAATGAATGTTTGCTTTTCAGTTTAATTTCTGGGGATTTCCTCTCACTTCCTGTTTGGCTATGGGACAGGAAATGAAAGGAAATTTCTGCAATGGGACACAGATGGCAAAAAAAATCTGAGGGTTATAACCCTCCCTTGCTCTATCCAAAATGAAAAAAAAAGTTTTGCCTATAGTTCTACTTTAACCACCTCCCTCCCGCCTTACAAACGAATGATGGGTTGGCGGCGGTTCTCTCGTTCTGGGAGGACGTCATATGACGCCCCACACTCTAACTGTGCGTGCGTACCCTGGGGGCGTGCGGCGCGGCGATCAGTGGTGTGCTGTGTCCCTGGGACACAGCGGATCATTGATCACAGTAAAGAGTCGATGACACAGGCTCTGTCATGTGATCAGCTGTGTCCAATCACATAACAAATACTTTACTCCTGCGCTAGGAAAGGACTCAGTAGACCCAATAGTAATGTTCTGGAATTTTCTGGAATATGCACTGCTTGCTGCCCTCAACAGACCGGGGTGGTCCGAATACACTGGATACAAATGGAGAAACAGTAAAAGGGCACACCGACCTAGTGCATTATCATTTAAAATAATTTATTTAAGAAACAAAAATAGGTATCATACTCACAATGGACATAATAACACAGGCATGTCAAACTGAACAAGATGTATGATCCAAACAACTTCTGAGTCCATACGATGGAACCCTGGATGACCAACTGGCTAACGCGTTTCGAGGACACAACCTCTTCCTCAGAGCCCTGTTGTTTGGATCATACATCTTATTCAGTTTGACATGCCTGTGTTATTATGTCCATTGTGAGTATGATACCTATTTTTGTTTCTTTAATAAATTATTTTAAACGATAATGCACTAGGTCGGTGCGCCCTTTTTCTGTTTCTCCATTTGTATCCAGAGTCCAATCACATCACAGGTGATCGCATGTAAACAAGGCAATGCCAGTTATCGGCAGTCCTCTCCTCATGCTGACAGCGCGTGAGGAGAGGAAAGCTGGTAAGCTGCATTCCTTAGAGAGGACAACTACACTGATCATCAGTGCCCTAATGATCAGTATAGCCCCATCAATACCACCTGTCAGTGCCCATCAATGCCATATACTAATGCCCGTCGGTGCACATCAATGCCACATATCAGTGCCTACCAGCGCACATCAATGTCACATATCAGTGCCCATCAGAGGGGCCTTTCAGTGCCAACTATCATTGCCAGTCAATGCAACCTATCAGTGCCAGTCAGTGATGCCTATCAGTGCCTCCTATCAGTGCTCATCAGTGCTGTCTATCAGTGCCATATATGAGTGTTGCCTTTCAGTGCCCATCAGTGACGCCTGTCAATGCCCATCAGTGCCACCTACCGGTGCCTCCTCATCAGTGCCCATCACTGCAGCCTATCAGTGCCCATCACTGCAGCCTCATCAGCACACATCAGTGAAGGAGAAAAATTACTTATTTACAACATTTTATAACAGAAACTAAAAAATACTTTTTAAGTCTTTATTAGTTTGTTTAGCAAAACATAAAAACACCAGTGGTGATCAAATACCACCAAAAGAAAGCTTTATCTGTCTCAAAAAAAGATAAAAATTTTGTTTGGGTACAGTGTTGCATGACCGTGTTGTCATTGAAAGTGCAACAGCACTGAAAGCTGAAACTTGGCCTGGGCACGAAGGGGCTGAAAGTGCCTGGTAGGCAAGTGATTAACCTCTTCCCTATAACGCTATAGCCGAAAGACGGCTACAGCGCATTTGTCTAGTTCTGGAAGGACGTCCATGGACGTCCTCCCAGAACATGCCCCCTGCGCACCCGGTGCTGCCAGTGATACAGTAAATGGCCAATCACGGTGGTCTTTTACTATGTGATCAGCTGTGTCCAATGATACAGCAGATCACCGTGTAAATACAGTTGCCGGTTATCGGCTGCACTTTCCTCAAGCTGTCTCCTACAAGTTTAGGAGAACCTGACACTTCCAAAGGTTCCTGGACACCTTGGCTCTATCCAGCCTAGAGGAACCAAAAAATAGAACAAAAAGAATAAAAGGTCCAAGCTGACAGACATAAGGGTTAACATGAAACTGACTCACGGGCTCTCTTTATCCAACCTGTTAGAAAATGTTTGCAGAACTTTGTGTTGATCTTTATGTAATGCATATAAAGAAAGGAGAATGGACTTTTCCCCAGGCATACATTGCATTGAGCCATCCAGCTAGTCCAGAAGAAAAACTTTGCACATTCCGAAGACATGTGATTCAAGCCAGAGCCGGCAGATCTATCATTTGCTGCTCTCTGGAGTTTTCCCTGTCTATAGTCACCTTTTTTCTTTTATTTTTTTACAGCAGCCTTAAAGTCAGCTTGAGTTAAGAATGACATAGAGGGTGGTAGCTGCTGAGAAGACATTTAGTCTCAATTCAAAAAGTTACGCACCAGAATAAAAATTCTTATTAAAAAAGTGACAGTTATATCAGGTCAGTTCAGTCTAACAACTAGATTTGACATAAAGTCACATGTTGAAATAAAGATACATATTCTTGAATTAAAGTGTTGTGGCTTGGTGCTAATCTTTGCTCTCACATGCTTAGATCATTCTAGACAATGAATGAGCCAGCAGATACAGATTTATTCTGAAAAATATGTGATAAAGATTCCTTTGTAATATGTGTGCATTCAATTAGAACCCCAGACAAAACGTTTTTTGGAGAAGAGTTGTTTTGGGGAAGAGAAGTTTTTTTTAATTCCTGGTCTTTTGAATTTTATGTCCCTCTTTTATCCACAGTGACTGAAAGAACAGTGGATGTGAGATCAGGGAACTTAAAGTGGAACTAAACCCATCAACTTAAAGGTTTAAAAAAAAACAGTTACATTCCTGGCATGCTGGGAATGTGAACCATCACGTTTGCTTGTGCTTTCAACCAAACTGTCAAACCATCAAATGGCTGGTGTATAACTGATCACATGGGCAGCTCCATGGCAGCTGAAGATCAAACAAAGGCTAAGATAGCAGCTTCCTTGGCTGAAAAGGATAGGAGGGTTTAGTTCCGCTTTCAGAGCAGAGCTGTAGGAAGTATCCATGTCTAACCAAACTTACGGCTGGAACAGTGGACAGTGACTCCGTAAGAGCAGTAAGGGGGCATTGGGTTGTTTAGCCTGCCGGATGTGCGTTGACATGTGTTGTAGTAACATGCATTAAAGTGTGCCTGTTACCGCAATCTACTGCAAGGCATAGATCTGAATGGGTCCTAACTGTATGTCATTTAGTTTGCATAAGCTATGTGCATCATAAACATAGTTTCATAAAGTGTTTTGTCTCTCCAATCTAAGCATTGAAAGTGTGATCCGTGTAACTTACAGTTGTGATGAGATAGCGATAACTCCAATCTTAGTTGAATAACACAGGCAGTGGCTCTATCCAGATGACACCTTGTAGATCTTGTGAAGTTTATTCCATAAACCGAGAGAATCTTACAACAATGAACATCGGATAGGTCAAAAGATCATAATGTGATCTACTTCATGACATGAGGCTTGAAGCTGAAATGCATTACTGGGAAAAAAGGGTGGGCTATCTATACAGCAAGAACTAAACCAAAGGAAAGGGAGGAACAGAGACAAAATATAAAGAACACTTAAAGGCATATGACAGTCATGTGAAACATGACATGAAGGTTGAAGACATTGGTCCCTCCAGTTCAACCTGAGCGTGTGTTTATGTCCCATTTTCAATATCTTTGTACATTGTGTTCACTCAGAAACAAATCTAAAATCTAGCTGACACCACCAACTGTGGAAGGGAGGTCCACATCCTTACCACTCAAACAGTAAAGAGCCATTTATAGCAGAGCTCCACTCAAAAGCGGAAACTCTGCTTGTTTGTCTGCTCCCCCCTCCACTGCCATATTTGGCACCTTTTGGGGAGCAGGGGGAACGGATACCTGTTTTTGATAGGTACCCACACCCACTTCCAGCTCAGTTCGCCACAGCGAAGTGAGCCGGGAGTTTGGCCCCCTCCTTCCTCCTGCAGTATTCTGGGAATTTTCACAGGTCCGAGAAGACTGCTGGACCAGTCAGGAGGCGCAGCGCTACTTGTGCATGCACAGTGGGCACCAGGCTGTGAAGCCACAAGCTGTCACAGCCTGGTGCCCACAGCTGAGATGCCGGTGCCGTGGAGGAGAGAAAAAGAGAGAAGGGATGGCACGGGCGAGTAGATCGCTGAACTCTGGGACAGGTAAGTATGTGTTTATTAAAAGTCAGCAGCTAAACTTAAAACTGTAGCTGCTGACTTTTAATATACACAAAAATGGCTGGAACTCCACTTTAGGGTCGAACCTCTTCACATCCAACTTCATTGTGTGGCCATGTCTTTAGAAACCTTAGATTAGTTTCCTCTCATATAGTCATCATTTAAATATTTTTATATTGAGTTCATATTCCCTCTTACAGTGTTACTAAACCCCGGACCCTGCATTCACTATATCTGGTCTCCCACAGTACACAGAACATGGAAAAGCCTCATGATAGAATGTGCACTAAAATTATGTTATATTTTTAAGTGATATGAAGTTCTTAAAGTTTTACTAAATTCCAGACCCTGCATTCACTATATCTGGTCCCCCACAGTACACACAACAAAGAAATGCAATCATTTTAGTAAATATAAACTGCTAAATACCTTTTTCTCATCAGCAGTATATAGCAGTCTTGTGACTTCTATCAGTGTCCAGCCAAGCGCTGGTTAAAGCTTGTAGAAAGAGTTTTAATTTTCCTCCGTTTGTCCTATAGGGCTGCAGGACCCCTGACCCTCTGTCTGGACAGTGCTGATTGGCCTTGTCCTCATCACATGCACTCTCCCAAGAAAAAAAACAACTCACTAGCAATACACACCAAACTGAGCATGTGCAGCTTGCCCCGAAGGCTCTGTTGTATAAGCAGATAGACTGGGGACAGTAGAAGGTGGGGAGGATCAGAGAAGACAGGATCAAACATCCTTTTTACACAATGTGGAGAATTAACCCCACAGTGAGCATGCTTTACTGCATATGCAAACTGATTTTACTGTCGTTGGTTTAGTAACACTTTAAGCACCTCTTCCTCAGGGAGAATAGGATAAATGTCTGTAGTTGTTCCTCCTAACTCAGATCCTTCAGCCCCCTTATTAGCTTTGCTGCCCTTCTCTGTACTCTCTCTAGTTCCAGTACATCCTTCTTGAAGTCTGGTGACCAGAAATGCATGGTATATTCAAGATGCGACACAACCAGTTTTGTAACGAGGTAGAATTATAGTTTTTATCTCTTGAGTAAATACATGGCCATTACAATGTTTTTTTCTTTTAGAAAATAGCATTTATGATTTTTGTCCTTTGCTGCCTTGATGTTCTTCAGCCTTTTTTCAGCCACATATCACCTACATGATTGTGCTCCAAAAGCATTTCATTGCTCTCAATCAGCTTCCTGATGGTGGAACATACACTATATTGCCAAACGTATTGGGACACCCCTTCAAATTGGATTCAGGTGTTCCAATCACCTCCATGGCCACAGGTGTATAAAATCAAGCACCTAGGCATGCAGACTGCTTCTACAAATATTTGCAAAAGAATGGGTTTGTGATAGGAGTCACTTTGGGTGGGGGGCCCATGGAACACAGCCCCCTTTAGAGAGGTGGGGAGACCCCTGTCTCAGCTCCCCATATCCTTCTTATGTGTTTATCACCCTGTGGCTGTTAAGGGTACAGGATGGAATGTCCTGCTATTGTGTAGACATGTGTAGGTGGGGGTTGTTCATTGTTCACTTGCATGTGGCTGCATCCAATTGTTCTATTGTGTGTCTTGCTTGGGAGCAAACTATTATGGGATGTGTTTGTGTATTGGCTTGGTGGGGGGTGTTTCCGGCAGCCCTTCCCCCTGATGGGACTGCCTGCTGATGTGTTTCCTGTTACTGAGTGTGTATTTCCCCGCCCTGTGTATATGTCTTGTATCTATGTTAAAATAAAGCAGTCTATCTCCTGGAATCCTTCAAGTCTGGTGCTGTCTCCTCTTGTATGGTCAGTGGTGGTGTCCATGGATCTGTGTTAGGACAGGGACTCGGGATTCTAACGGAAATACCCTAGAGCAGTTGGGATCTGGTTCCGTTACAGGTTTGCTCTCAGGAGCTCAGTGAATTCAAGTGTGGTACCGTGATAGGTTGCCACCTGTGCAGTAAGTCCATCCGTGAAATTTCCTTGCTACTAAATATTCCACAGTCAACTGTTAGTGGGATTATAACAAAGTGGAAGCAACTGAGAACAACAGCAATTCAGCCATGAAGTGGTAGGCCACATAATATGACCGAGTGAGGTCAACGCACGCTGAAACTCACAGTGCGCAGAAGTCGCCAACTATCTGCCGAGTCAATAGCTAAAGACCTGCAAACTTCACGTGGCATTCAGATTAGCATGC